TCTAGCCAGGGTCAACCCACCACACTACCATTAGTATTTTAATATCATTATTATTTTAGGTTTTATTTTATTTCAATTATTAAATTGTTCTTATTTCAACCTATGAGTCTCCTCACCCTTGCCCCCAAGTCTCTTCCCTATCACCTGGGCAGCAGGGGGAGTGAGCAAACAGCTATATTTGACTGCTGGCCAAGTGAAACCACCACAACAGTGAATAAAGAAAGTTGTCATGAGACTGCACACTGTCATACATGTCATGAGATCATGAAAACTTCAAAGATATATATTCCAGACAGAACAGTGACAGAAATGTTTATTCTTCTACAAAGAAAGATATTGCAGTTTTACCCTAATAAAGTACACACTCTGATTTTTATTTTTTTTTGTCTCTTTGTCTTTAGTTGTATCTGATTACTCTGCTTCCTCTAATTCATCCTCCTTATCCTCTAAACTAGTAGTCCCTGTGGAGGCAAATGAAAGACAGGATATAGAGATGTATTTTATTATAAAATAGTGGAAAGTAATCCTAGTAACCTAAAACATAATTCTAGGACTATGCTGTCTACCTCAGTCATCTTTCCCATTGCCTTTCACTGCCAGTACTTAAATTCAACTGTTACACATTGTTTGTCAGCTGCCAGACGGTCTCAGTACACACATATTGACTGACAGCCAGCCCATATGTAACTCTGGGATAGCCAAAGAATGTCTCCTATGTAGACAAGTATCATAAGAAACACAGAGCAAGAAGGATGGAATTCCTGTGTGGAAAAAAATTATGTTAATGGGACAGAGAATACAAGGCTGCAAGAAACCAGATTTTGTTACATCTGCTCTTCACAGTATGGATATTTTCTTCAAATCATTTCCTCTTATTATAATTTAATCTTGCTAAACATAAGGCAAGGGGAACAATATGTTGCTTAATTAATTGTAGATGTAGGCTTATGCTGAAAAATGTATAAAATCCAACTCTTTGATTCTAGAAATAAAGAGCTGGAAGGATCTTTGAGAACATCTATCACATTCCTGTCTGTTCATGCATTGGAATCTGCATCTATGCTGCCACTGACAGATGCTTTGGTCCATTTGTTCTTAAAAAAAAACAAAACCAAAAACCAAAAAACAACCCAAAAGCAAACAAACAAACAAAAAAACAAACCCAAACCACCAAAAAACCCCAATGGGAATACCAGAACTGCCTCATTGTGGTAGGCCAGAAAATTTGTTAGGGTCAAGTTCAGTCCAAAATTATTATTTGAGTCCAAGAGACTTTGAGACAAACCAGGCTCAATGAACTTTTGCCAAATACAAAACGGAGCTGTGCAGGAAACCTGCTTAGATTTCTGCTGGATCTGATCCAAGCCCAGGGATCCTGTAAGATGTCAGTCCTACACACTAGATCAGCTAGCTGGCTAGTCTGCCCTGAAGCACGAGTCCACCTTCAGAGGTGATGGGTAAAAAATGAGAGGAAATAAACCACAAAAATTCCAAGAGCTGGCCTAAATGTTTAGTGTACACCTCCAGGCTCTTTCAGAGTTTAATAGTCCTTCTGATCCCTATGAATAGTGCTTTGCTTTTATTTATTATAAAATTGACTGATTACAAATGGATAAATTTATCTTATGTTTTCATGCATCAAATATGTAAGCTTGTAAGTGTTAACATTTAGTAAAAACAAATAGCAATTGGGTGGAGGCCTATAAGCTAAATGTGAGTAAACATAGATGCATCCTTTTGTTGCTTCTTAGTAATTTTGTGTTTAAAACAGGCTTCTGAACAACCTGCAAGAAAACCTGAGTATCTGAATTCCAAATCTCTATGGTTTGTAAGAGAAACAAATGAACCAGAGTCTGTTCAAACCATAATACATAACAATACCTAAAATTTGTTTCTTCAGATTTGTTTTGCTTGCTTTTTAACTTCAGTTGAGAGAATAAGAATACATAGTTCCATTCATGAGAGAAAAGTGGAGTGCTCAAAACTCCCTGAATTTCCCAGGGTCTGAAATCTTCTCTCATTTTTGTACAAAAAAAGTTTGCAAATGCAATCACTTACAAACTCAGCCCTGCAAGTGCTGTCGACTGTACATGTATACAGAATGCTGCACAGAAATACCACTTTTAATTTCCACTGTTATAACTTGACTACTCAAAACCAGTTTACAGCTATAGAGGACTGCCCTCTTTAGGAAAGGTAGATTCCCATCGTTTCTTCAGCTTAATAAGGGACCTCTCAGCAGCAGCATGACTTCAGCTGATTAACACACATCATTTCAAACCCTGATTGTTAGCTGAAGTATATTCATGCATGCCCCATTCCTCACCTAGATCCTCCTGATCTTTGTTTTCTTCTCCCTCTCTTCTTCCCTCATCTTCCTCTCCTGCATCCCTCACTGGTGTAGAAACTTCACTGGATAGTTCTTGAAGAGAAGGCTCATCATCCCTATCCTTAGCAGACTCATCAGTGACTGAAATATGAGAAATTTAGAAATACCAGAGAAAATTAATGTTTATAAATTTGCACCCAGTCATTGTTTTCGTGCAGTAGCTCGTAACTCCTGTTCTGAAGTCTGCAGTCTTTAATCACATGAGAAATCCCACAAAATGTTCTGTAACTGTTTAGAATCAAGTCTGCATAACAGGCCATGATATAGACTAAAATGATCCACAGGCTTCCTGACAGCTGTATCTCATGACACCTTGTGAGATAAAACAGACATATATATATTGCACAGTTTATGAACAGGCTTGGAAGTTCCTAACATTCAATATGTGGTAAATTATAGGAAAAAAAGCCCCCAAAAATCCTCTCACACCACTTGATATTAAACCTGAAATACATGGTTTCAGAGGATAGTGAAAGTATAGAGTTTCCAGCTGTCCAGCAGAACAAACCTGCCACTGATGGCATTTTCTCCTCTTCAGTTACTGCTGCTGCTGCTCTTTCTTCCACTGCTTCTGCTGCCGCCACTAGGGAGGCTTCCTCTGGAGAAGGTGGTTTTTCTCCACGGGGAGTCCAGAGTGTTAATTTGGTAATTTGTGATGCTTTCCATTTTGGTGCAACAAGCAATGAGGGTTCCTCCTCTTCTTCTTCTTCTTCTTCCTCCTAGAAGACAACACATGAAATCCAGTATCTTATATTACAGGTTTTAAGGGACTAACTGAGACGATGGTTTTGTGAACTAAAACCTCTTTGTCTGGGCTCAAAATGGCATTGAATTTGCCTTTGAAAGCATTTACAGGTGGAGGAACTACTACACTTTGAACCTTGATGAAGTCAGTTGACCATTACCAATGATCAGTGCTTGCCAGCTTACTTTCCTTAACGTAAAATTTTGTCTATCCTTAAGCAGAATGGCTGTGAGGTGCCTGTCAACTGTGTCTTCTCTTCTCTGCCTGTATACAGTATAACAGCAGCAAATAACACCTGATACTCTGTCTGGTTGATGCTGCACCATCTCACGCAGGAACAGGGGGGCAACACAGCTTTTTCTGCCTCAATCTTTGCCTAGGATTGGTTCGGATCTAGGAAGCAGTAAGGTACTGCACAAAGCTTTCATTTTTGAAATTTGAAGATATTTTTTAATTTAAAAAGTCATACTTTATCCAAATATGAAGGAGAAAGTCTTGGTAATGGAATAATTATCTCTATTGCAATCTAATTATTTTTTTAAATGGACTTTGTTCTGCAATTACTTCAACTAAAGCAAAGCGGCAAAATTTGATTTTACTTTAGTGACAGCACTGTCCCTTGCTTTACACAGTCACAACAGCATTCACATGAGAAGAAATTATTGTTCCCGAGAATAATGATTTTCAGAAGCCGAGTGCTTAACTTGGGGTTCTTAAATTCATGTTTAAACTCCCACATCAATGGCCTAATATTCCAAAGTCAGCACATCCAACAATTGCCAACTGAACTGAGGATACTAGATACACATCACTTTGTGTACTCATATGAATCTGATTCTTAATTTGGGATCTCTTGCTTTTAGCCAAAAAAGCAAAACAGTCTCCATGTTTTGCAAATCTCTATCACAAATTATAGGATTTTTTTATTATTATTATTTTGTCCTTGTCCTAAGAAACAATTGCTGCACTGGAGAATTTTCAAAGAGTGTGTAATGGGAACTAATGTGTCAGACAACAGAGGTAGCAAACTCTAAGCTAAATTGTAGCATATTTTCTTGAAATCAAAACAGTAATATTAAGATATATTTCTTACTTCTATAGCTATTTTGTACCACATTAATCAGAAACATTTCAAAACATTCATGCATGAAGAAGAAGAAGGAAAAGCAGGTCCTGATCCCAGATGCTCCCTACAGGTACTAGGAGCTGTGGATATTAAGCTCCTAAGAGGACCAGAACAACAGTGGGACACATTTCCAAAACACGAATCTGCCGGAAATTTTCATTCGTATGCATAGCATCAAGAAATTCAGAAATATAAGAAGAAATATTTTTCATTGTTTTCTGGTGTTCAGAACAAAGTGGAATACAGGCTAAATGTACAGACAAATGCTTCTACATTCTTCTGTGGTTTGAAACTTCAAATGTTTTGGGAAGATTCTGATTGTTCTGAACTTTAAGCAGAAAGGAATCCTGTCTGCAAGTAGTGCTAAAATCACACCTTGTACTCATCAAAGCTTACACAGTAAGGAAGCTAAAGAAAAAAACAAAATGAAACCTCATTTAGTTCTTAAAAATGCATGAGTTTCCACCCTTTTTTGTTGAGTTAGATCTACTTTAACAGCAGTATCTATAAGGCATTTTGTAGATTACTCAACAATAGATTTGATATAGTGAGTTCTCTGATATTCAGTATAATTTCCACAATTTCTTTTACCTGCTCCGAATGTATGTATTCTCCATGCTGTTCACATCCAATATCAAATACATATTTGCCATAACCTACAGGCTGCACAAAGATACAAAAAAGTCAGCAGAACCATAAAGTCAGTACATTCTAAGCATATAAATGTAAAGTATGCTTTACTACAAAAATCATACAATAGTCAATAACAGCAGAGTTTGAAAGTGAAGTTGCAGAGAAACTTGGCGTTCTGTCCTACAGATTAATTCAGTTTCCTGTGTTACACTTATGGTACAAGAAATACTACAAAAGATCGGGAACTTAGTTTCTTATTTTAAGTGGAAAAGATCATATTAAGGCAATTCCATGCTAACTGGTCAGATGAATAGAGAGTTTTCTAGCACACTTACATTTCCATTCAGAAACTTGCCCTTAAATCTATGGTTTAGGTGGATAAGTTCAGCTTCTCCTTCCTGGTTTCCATTTACCCAACGACCAACATACTTAGATCCTGTGTCTTTATAGACATATGTACCTCGCCCGTGCCTAAGGAGAAAATAATTATTTTGCTTTATATTACTGAATATTAAGAATTTAGGATGTTTTTATACTTAAGGTATTAAAATTATATTATTTAAGTAGCTGAAATGACTCAAGTTGGACTAAATTGCCAAGGTTATCCAGTAGCACCTGATTTGCTGTAGTCATCCACTCTTGGAAAATAACTTTTGCATTTTAATGCCATTGGGTGACTTTAAACATCATGGTAAGAATGAAACAAACCTATTGTGGTTAAACCATTGTCCAGTATAGGTGTCTCCATTTGCATATGTATACTCTCCATAGCCATGTCTCTGGTCATCCACCCAGTCTCCTTTAAGAAGAATACAATAAAAACAGTGAGACGTGGTGTATTTCATGGTGTGATATAGTGGTCAGTTTGTAAAGTTATCATATCTGAATTATTAGAGAAGGAAAAGAAAGCTATAACACCACTGTGATTCCTTACCATTCCTTACACCATTCCTTACTCTAAGTCCTTGCTCTTTTTTCTTCTGTCTGGTCCCTTCCACACATATTTCTGCGGCTGCCTGACCTCCCTTTCATTTCATCCATCACAGTCCGTCTCCATTATCACTCTCCATTATCATTATGAACACAAGAAGCCATGTAATGTCCTGCTCCTGTCTTTAAAACTGGTAATGTATTGCAGTTGCATTAGATAATGTGACATTTCCACTCAAATAAAAAGAGGGACTACTTCAGTTTGACTCATTTTCTAAAACTGCCCTGTCAGTCAAGGGACATATATAGTCAAAGGATGCTAGATTGTGTATCTTAATTACTCTTCTATTTGATCTTAAAAGAAATTTATTTAAATAAAAAAATCACAGGTACATATGCTCTCATAAGGCAAGATCGGGCTGGATTTTTGCTTTCTGCTTCTAGCCCTCACATTGTGAATGTTCTTTCTTGCCTAGCTTAGAAAAGGGGGAGAAATATTTTCGCTTGAAGCCTAAGTGTTATTAACAGTGCTTCAGGTACTCTCCTGGAAGAAGGGAAACAACAAGAGTTTCAACTTCTTCAGCCTTCAGAGGCACCCTAATCCCTGAGTAAGTGCTCTAATCAGTAGACTATTTTTAAGGATGACCCTAATAAAGTCCTAAAATACTTTATACAGAACATATCTGTGGTTCTAATCATTATTCAGAAATAAGTAACCATACTCTCTTCTACCAAGACGGCACTGATTTGTAAAAGGTACTTAATATTTCTTAGAACTTGGAACACCCCACTTGAAAGGAGGACATGACAAGAATAAACCAATACTAAATACCACACTTCTCCAAATAATCAACATAAATCCTTATAAATAAAACGCACATTTCTCAGAGCTTATAATAAAAAAAAGGAATAAAAGGAAAACTTTCTGTAGCGAATTTATCTTCTTAAAAGAATACATTCTCCAATTCACTATCTCCCTGCCTCGGGGGGGGAGGGGAATGCGTCCTTTCAGCTACAGAAATCCTTGCAACTGTGTTCAGTGTTTTACCTTCATATTTTGATCCATCTGGATAAAAAAAAACACCCTTGCCATGCTTTTTGTTTTGAAGATATTCTCCAGTGTAGTAAGCACCATTTTTAAATCTGTAGGTCCCCTGAAACATATTTGGTATAAATAAAATACTTGTCAGTTCTCACTCTTGTTTCAGTGTAGTGCCCAAACTAGCAGAACTGCTGGAACATAAGCACAAGCACTGTCTTCTGTCCCTGTCTTACCTGTCCACTCCGGAGCCCACGTTCATACTCTCCATCGTACCTGTCACCATTGGGTAGCTGTGCTTTTCCACGCCCGTGTCGCTCACCTTCCGCATTGCGTTCACCATCATACTCCTGATCACATGTGGAAAAAAAGTTGTTTAAGAGGGCTCGACCTGACTGAACCTAACCTCATTAGACAGAGGAAAACAAGTGTTTGCTCAAAGCTGATCCAGTTCGGCTTTAATCGGAGACTGTGGGAGCGCCTGGACAACAGATGTACTGCTTATGCAGAGGCTTCCATCAGATCCTGACGGCAGAGCAGAGGCTTCCCTCCCCTCCTGACAGGCCACTGCAAGGTATGGA